AATATTTGTAATTATTGGTCTTATAGACCAGAGAAACCTCTAGTGGATTCTCAATACAAATTATTAAATAAAGATAAATGCAAAACCTCACCTTAAACAAAAAAAAATAATTATTAAAATTTAAAATTAATACCATTAATTTGTTTTATTGTATCAAGATAATATTTTAAAATTATTATTGACTTTTTATTAGTAGTATCTGCTTCAAGCCAAATAATATATCGTGAATATGCATCAATAGTACCATGAATATAAAATCCGCAATGTTGTAATTTATCATATTCATCAATACTCCACATAAAATTAGAACCAGGAATATTCATTATACATCGAATAAGTTTTTTTTCTTTTCGATTTTTCATTGCTTCTGGATCAATATAGTACATAATATTTCAAACTTTTTTCTATATTATAATAATTTATATTAGTATAATTATATTATTAAATATTGTAATAATAATTAAAAAATAAATAAAATAATTAAAATAGAATTTAAAATTTTATTATTCTATTTTAGAATTTGAGAATAGTCAAACTTTATTAAATATATTCTTTATAAATATATATATTTTTTAAATATATATTTAGATTTTAATTTAAATATATATTTAATATATTATTAAAGTATAATCTTAAGAATATATATTTAAAAAGTTTAACTATAGCTATATTTAAAAGTAAAATAACTAAATTTAATATTTTTAAATAAAATATTATACTACTATATTAATATTTTAATTCTATTAAATATTTTCTTTAAAATTTTTTAACTTATTGTTAATAATTTAAATTAGAATTTATCAAAATAAGTTAATTACTTAATTATAAATATATATCTATTTTTATTATAAAAATTTATTATAATTTATGATAAACTATATTAAATATTTAATCATAATAATAAATTTTTATAATAAAAATAAATACAGGTTACTTTCATTAATATCAACCTATTTGAATTGATTTTAAATCATATTGTTAGTGATATTAATGAAAAATCATATTAAAGTTAATATATATAAGGAAATTTTGATATATAAAAATTTATAAAAATTTGGTTTGTGGCTTAGGTTGATATTAATGAAGTTGATATTAACAGGAGTAACCTGTATTATTATTTTTATAGGTATATAATTTGCTAATTTAAATACCTGGATGCATATATTTGATATTTAATCCACAATCTATGTTTTATAGCCCAAATTCCATAATACTTATTACTATTTTGAATTTCATAAAAAATTGTTTCTACTAATTGTGAATTAGAGCATATTTGATTTCATTTTAATAAATTCCATTTTTTTCTTAATAATTTAATATATCTTTTACTAAATATAATAAATATTTAATTAATATAAATTGTAAAATATTTTAATAAAAATTTTTTATAAATTAGATAATTTGCACTATAAAAAAATAATTATAATATACCTTAATAAAATATTTCTTGCCGTAAATATAAAGAAATAAGATAATCATTTTTTCCTTGAAAAAATAATAAGTAATTAACTTCTTAATTTTAGATATATTTGATCTATTTTGTTGTTTTTTTGTCAAACCAAAATTTTTTAATAAGCGAATTAAATGTCGATAACTAATTAATTTATAAATTAATAAATATAAGTAAAATAAATAAATAAATTATAGTCAATTCTCTTTATACTAAACTATTATAATTTAATATCTAACTAAACTTTAAAAAATTTAAAGATATAAAGCTTAGTTTAGATAAAAATTCATTAGTTGAGAATTTCAAAATTAATAAATAAGCAATACATTTTAAAATGTTTTTTTCAATAATATTTTTACTATGTTAAATTATAAATTAGAAAATAAAATTCTCTAATATTAATTTTGAAACTCTCAATTAGATTTAGTTTAAAGAGAATTGATTGTAATTAATTAATTAATAAAAATAGATAACCTAATTTTATAATCATATTCAACTTGTAATTTTTGAATAATAGTAGTGTAGGGCAGTTTTTGTTCACAGTAGTTATGAAGTAGGTTTTTAAGAATTTCTTTTGAAAGTGTCATTGCTATTAATGTTGTTTATCTTATGTGTATTTTATAAACAGATTTAGGAAATTATTATGTTAAATTTTTTATAACTACGGGTAAGTTTATAAACATTAAAACTAAAAGAAAAAAATAATTGCCTGCATTACACCAGATGTGAAATATAAATTTGTAATACGTACTCCAAATTTGATTTAGCCTTTTTTTATTTTAGTAAATAAACTAGTACATGCTCATGTGATGGCTTCGCCGCCAGGTAATAATTAATCGCTAACTTAAAGTTTAATCAAGATTCAATGCAATTTAAACACAAATACTAGAACTTATTATACGGAGGCTTTGCCATTCAGTTTTGGCTAACTAATAATTAGATGATCAAGTGAAGAAGTATTTATTTAAATTCTCTCTTTTTAATGGAAAAAAACACAAATACATAAATTTAGCTTTGAAAATAACCAATACAATAACTTTCAAGCTCAGTTTGATATTTATTATGTTTTGCCTCGCTTCGCTCGGCAACTGCAGTACTGTATCGCTATATATCATTTATTTAAATATATCGATCACACCATATTGTAGATTCAGGATTTAATCAAGATTTATAGGTGCATGGATAATAACTTATATAAATTTAAAAACGATCATACGATAAAGATATAATTATAAATTTGGATGTGATCAAATTCTTTCGAATTGGTTTAAATTTTGCTATTGTGTCACTATATTTTATTTATTTAAATATATCGATCGCACCATATTGTAGATTCAGGTTTTAATCAAGATTTATAGGTGCATGGATAATAAATTTAAAAACGACCAATGCAATAACCTTCGGCCTCGCTCTGCATTGGTTTAAATTTTACTATATTTTATTTATTTAAATATATCGATCGCACCATATTGTAGATTCAGGTTTTAATCAAGATTTATAGGTTCATGGATAATAACTTATATAAATTTAGAAACGATCATACGATAACAGCCTTCGACGATCACTGATTATCAATTCATACATAAAGCTAGTTTTGAAAATAACCAATGCAATAACTTTCTATATTGTAGGTTCAGGGTTTAATCAAGATTTATAGGCGCATAGATAATAACATATATAAATTTAGAAACGATCATACGATAAAGATATAATTTAAATTTGGATGCGATCTTCAAATTCTTTCGCTACAGCCTTCGACGAACACTGATTATCAATTCATCATTCTGATAAGAAATTCGACGAAAAGAAAACAAAAAAATAAAAAATAACACAAAGTGACATGCAATTATAGGACCAAGAGGTCATAAAAAGCGATGAAATCATACATTCTAGCGCAAGTTGATTATACCTTGATTCGATAAAAATTTTTTTTTTCATCCTTTAAAAGAAAATTATTTTCTACATGTGTAATCAAGTTTTATTCTAGCACATTACATTGGAGTGTCCTTACTTATTTGTAAATAAACAAAGTGCGTAAAAACACAAATTTAGGGTTGGGACGTTAACATTAGAATCTATATCCATAGATTGTTGCTCATTATATGTATAATCTCGTCTCTGAATCTTTAATTAAGTGCACCAAGGTCGCTTTTTTCGTCTTTCGCACGTGTTCGGAATTCATGTTGGGCTGATCCGAAACGTTCAAAATTTAAACTCGCTGATTGGCTATTTCTTTTTAGAAGTTTGTCTCATAGTAAAATTATTAGTAAAATTTCTTTGTGTAACAATTACGATGGTCTATAGTAAAATGCTATAAATTTTTAAAAAAATTGTTAATATTATTAAAAAAATTTTCTAAAAAAAAAAACTCTTTTAGTTTAAAATACGGGTTCCGTTGAACTATTGTGCAATTTTTTTATAATCGTTTCATATGAAATTATCAAACTTCAAATTGTAAATTACATATTAACTAGTATGAAAATTTTGCTCAATTGATCAACAGGACCTATATTTTAAGCTAAAAGTGAGTTTTTTTTTAAAGAAATTTTTTATTAAAATTTTAATTCATTGAAATAATATATTTGTCGCCAGAGGTGACAGTAATCATATTTTATTAACAATTGCCAAATAGTTTTTAATCTATTTGGTTTTATATAGGACTATGCATAAATTTGATTTACATTGTACATCGAATACCCAGCTTTACATATTCCATGTGATACTTATTTAATCAGATCGTACATCTGATCTTTAATTATTAATTGAAATTATATAATCATTTAGTAATCATGCATATTACCTGAATGTAAATCTCGATGCATAAATTTCTTTGAATATAATATGTTTATGTCTAAACACTGGTTACAATTAGCCACAAGTATACCGATTTAGTACACTAGAATGTGTTTTAGTGTTTTAGTGTTTTAGTGTTTTAGTGTTTTAGTGTTTTAGTGTTTTAGTGTTTTAGTGTTTTAGTGTTTTAGTGTT